AAGGCCTTGCGTCCTGTGTGTTATTTAGTAAAATGCATCCGTCTTCTACTTGGCATTTAACTTAATTGCATAAAAATAGGCACAGCAATGAAATAGGTGGCACTTCCCTTAACAGCTTGTTACTTAATGACATCAAAGTCCAACGCCACTGAAATCCATACCCCACTGCCAGCTAATGAAGGTCTCAACATGAAAGCCTAGGCAAAGAGCAAAACCTAGCTGCTGACAGGAACAGTGCAAATATGCTGGGATCTGAGATCACTAACACATACACACAGCACAGCAGGCAGTAATGATTATTAATTATTTAAGAAAAGAACATAAGAGCACCAGCATAAGCTGAAGAAAAATATGCAGAAGCATCACTCTGGGATCCTCCAGTTGGATTAATGTTAATTAGCAGTACATGAGTCTAAGGGAAAGATCCAAAAGCATCTTACAGTAGTAGGAGCCTAAAATTAAGCCGTCATTTGCATTTTTGCACTAGCATGGGTTTTCTTCCTGATAGCATCATGGGCAAAACACCATTAATGATTAAGTATTGTCTAGCTCTTCTGTTCCAATTTAGCTGGCTGACTGTACAACAGTGTATATCAATTTCATATAGCATCAATTTACCACCCTGCATTTATTTAGAATAACTTTTTTTTTAGTGGAAGGAGATATTATAGGGCTTCTTCTACCTGTGGAGAATTTTATATTTATTTTCTTAAAACACTAAATCCAAATCAGCTTCTGCCCCCACCTTAGTTTCCTACCATCAAGCTTACTGAGATTTACAGAACTTTTGCTATCAAGTAAGGTGCCATCTTGCCATTGTACTATTCACTTTTAATATTAAAGCATATGACGGATTCTCAAGAGACCTCTTTACTCCTAGCTCTGCAATAGATTTAGTAGGTTGATCATGTCTTCAGTGACCGCACAGGCCTTCAAAAAGTTAACAGAAGATGCAAGTGCACTGCACTTATTACCTTACCAATTGTCATCCTACTTGCCCTATACACAAAACGGGAATAATAAAGCTTATCAGCAGCAGAGGAACGTTATAAAGTTTAATTATTTAAAGGTTAAGTCATTTTGAAAATTTTGACAAGTCTTATACAAAGACTGGGTATAAATTAAAAAATCCACTTCACCTGTTAGTTTTTTTTTTTTTTTTTCCATAACATAGCTTCTAATCACTTCTTTGTTTAATGAGGTTGCTGTTGGTTCTAGGAAGCCAAAACTTCAGGCAACTTTCTCCTCGGAGTCTTTGCTTGACTTCGAAAAAAATATTCTCAATTCACTGTCCTTTTCTCATCTCCAGTTCGTTCTTAATCAGCTTTGAAATTCATTTAGGCTTCCTTCACAGAACAGCTGCTTCCGCCCTCCACGTCCCTCTGTATTTACTGGCATCTCCCCCTCATTAAGGGCCTCCAACAGCATCTGTACACACAAACTCTGCTTTCATTATCCATCTGACTAAGCCACATGAGACAATAAGGAAAACTGGGTTTCCCCTCAAAGACGTCTATGGTACCCAATCAGGGAGCTGTTTTTAATTTGAAATCTTTTCGTTGGAAAATCTTTTACATTTTAGATTTGGCCTGACAATTCCAGTCCCTCAAAACCATCTTCTCGTGCAGAAACAGCCTAGTGTTTCCTGAAAATTAAATGAAGGTAAATCATTCAATCGGCTCTTCTTTTTCCACGTTGGGGATGCTACGATAGGGTCAGAAGAATCTGTTGGAATTTTTATGTCTAGTGGCTAGCAGTAATTGTCTAGGTGAGCTAGAGTATTTCAGAAAATTAAAGCAGCAGTATGACAACCTTTGTTGCTATATTTAATGGTTGTACAGACTGTGCCATGAGAAGGTATGCAGAGAGAGATTTTAGAGAGATGGACAAAAAAGCCCTTTAATGTAAAAGGCTAGGACTTAATCTTCTTTGTTAATCCAAACTTAGTTTGTATAGTAAGAAACCTTCTCACCTGCATGTTTTTTATCTGAAAACAGAACTGTCTCCAGATTAAATTTGGTATTTACAAAGTTACAAGCACGCTCTTATACGATGATGACTTAACTTTACAGAGCACTTGATGCTTCAGTTTTCTCCCTAATGTTTTTTTCTTTTGGTTCAATGCAATCACCAGACTCACCCTACAGAGAAAAAAAGATTTAAAAAGGGAGGTTATATATGGCCAAACAGAACCTTAGGCAACTCTGCTGACACGTTTAAAGCTACTGTACTTCATAATTCTTGTTTCAGAAGTAAAATGATAAACAAAAAAGACCTGTTAATCTTCAAAGCAATGTACGAACAATGACAACTTCATAACACTAGATATTCAAGTATCATAATCTGTATTTTACACTAGGAGAGAGAAATAGAGAGAATAAGCGATCTGCCCGAGCCTACTGCTGAACCTAGCTATTGCTGATGGAACTCAAACATCACAAGCTTGTGGGGTAAACCACAAAACCATGCTTTCACTAGAAAGTTGTTCTTTTGTTAACAGTTTTTATTTGAGCAAATGATTATTATAATAAATAGAATATGGATTTTTTCCCAGCCCCTGCAGAAACATTTTAGATATTGGTGGAGGTATATCCCAGGATTATTTGACAAAATCTTTAGCATAGCATACCAATCAACTTGCTATGCCTCTGCAAAGAACCTAACCACTTCAAGTAAGTTACTTAAAGAACTATTTGCTAGGGCCAGCCTATGAACAGCTCCATATTGGCAACGGCTTCCTTTTTAAATTATACTTATAGTCAAGGCATTCTGCAGGAAGTACGCAGCCTCTGGATTAGAGTAATGCTTTCTGACTTCTCAAATTTTGAGAAGGCAAGTCTGGCCTGGCATACAGAATCTTGCAATAATATTGGCAGTTGATCTCGCTCTCATCTGTGCTCATCTAAATCACATGAGATCTTTTCAATAGCAGGCGGAGCACAACATTAAAAAGGATGGATCAACATAATAGTTTTCCAAATGCCTGCAGTACAGAAACCATGAAAAAAAAAAAAACTGAAATATTTGCAAATCCATTAAGAAAATAGTCTATCCTGAGAACTGCAAGGAAAAAAATTTCCATATTATTGTACAGTAACTTATTGTGATGTGTGAGAGTGCTGAGAGATTTCATTTACATATTAATGCTTCAAGCAGTTTGGGAAGTGGAAAGAGAGTTACTTAGCACCAGTAATGAGCAGAAAGGAAAAGAAGGCAGCTACGGTCCCCATGTACTGTTTTGTTTTCAGTAATTTTAGACTGTCTAATGATGCCTTTTAATAAGCTCCTCTCAGCTGTAAAGCTGCAGTCAGCCTTTGTCAGAGAAGATAATACTGTCCCAGACAGCAAAATAGTTCTAATATCATGGACAAAGAACGCCATCTAAATGTAAGCTTCTTTAAAAAAAAAAAGGAGAAAAAAGTTCCATCTGTGAAATACATGAATTGTTTTGTCTACACTGTGTCTTTTTGTTTCTAAAATAGCAGATTTCAAAAGGGTAACTGTTAAAGCAAAATACATTCTCAAAACATATTTTCTGGTTTCTTCTACGCCAGTCCTAGTTACCAATTAGACAAACTTGTTTATTTACAGGGTATCTATGCCTATAAATGCAAGCTAAATTATGACTGATGATACTTATTTTCTGTTTACAGTCTATGTTACAGACTTGTCCTCTAAGTGATTATTATTTGGCATTAACACTGCAGTGGAATATCTAAATTTAAGATAGTATTTCCGCTCCACTCACTCAGTTTAATGGCAGCTCCCACTGAAGCTGTTGTCTGAGTAAAAACGGGCTAAGATGCATGCACTGTAGGTGCCACACTGAGGTTCCACTACAGGATTCCTACACAGGATTCCTCAAAACAGCGGGTCACCTTCATTGCTGACAAACACAAGTCCAACTCCACTCTTGCCAAAAGCTGTCATGCCACCATGAGCTGGTACTGAATTGAGTCCATATTTAGTTTAAAAAAAAGGTTTCTAAATCATTACCAACTTGAAAAGAATTCAGTTTCATCCTCTTTCAGGACTTGTCTGTCTTAGTTTTTATAACTCAAAGCACAAACAAGATGGAGACAAGAGCCTTTCCAGCAACAGACTTGTTGCTACAGAAATGACCACGTTTTACAGATCAATAGCAAAGAGATAAATTTAAACTTAACAGTATTCAGAAAAACATTTAGTTTCTCAAGGTTCCAAGTGCATCCACAGAAACTTTCCAAACTTGTAACGTTATGTCTTTAGGAGGTTGCTTTTACCAAAACAGCTAAAAGAACAAAGAGCTACCACTTCAGATTTATGCCTAGAGCTTAGACAGGCTTACCAATTAAAAAAAAAAAAATACACGATCACTAAAAACAGCACAAAATCTGGTTGCCCTGAAAATACACCTATCACCTGAGCAACACAGGTACAGATCTCTGCTTATCCTCCTTTTAATGTACTTATTGCATATTGTACTTTGCTCTCATTTAAGGAAAAATAAATTTATCACTTAGAAAAATCAGTTTATATGTAGAATTTAAGTAGCAAAATGGTAGCTTTCCTCTCTTGCTACCTATCTGCCCCATCTTATGTGAAGAGGAACCCACTGTATCTGTGACTCTCAAGCACATTACATTTCCAAAGTCACACTTTCTCTGGGGGAGTACCACATAATAATAGTACATGCCAATCCACTCACAGCCAAACGCTCCATTTACCAATGATATTTCACAACACTTCCTCCACTTTTGAAGCTTTCCAAAGAAAGGAAGTGCCAACTCGCACTTGAAACATCTAGGGAAAAGGACTAAAAACCATCCAGTGTTTGAATTTTTTGGTATACAAATAGAGGGAAATTACTTTTTTTCAATGGGCCAGAAGCAGTAAGGTGACCTGAACAGATGTCTCCACGCAGCTACACTGTGTAAAAAAACCTGGGATTTATGCTTCTAGTTTCAGACAAACCACTTCCTCATAAGGAAATGTCAAGCTTTTCTCCTCCACCTGTTCAGAGAAAGAGATACAATTGTTAATAGGTAGCAAGTCCAGAGAAATATCTTTTGCTTCTACCTATATCCTTTGCTGATGGTAAAATTGCTAATGGTAAAATAAGAATGGAAAGAGGCACGAATATGACATTCGGTTAAGAAATGCCTTTTCTGTTGTGGTTGTTCCTGATACCATTAGATCAGCGCCCGAATATATGCCAAGGGTAGAGCAGACCCAAAAACCATGCTTCTCAAGCTGAAAAAAATTCTCAAATAAAGGCGTCCAAACAGCTCAGACGAAATTCTGAGTACTGAAGTACATGTGAAGCTGCCACTACTGTCAGAATAATAACTCTAATATTGATTGCATTACAAGGAAGCGTGAAAATATTTTTAAGTTAAATACACATCTGGAGCACCAACTACAGCCTCTCCACACTGAGGTCCTCGTTTATGCTCCAAAGTCTGGCTAAAAACTCAACAATGTGGGATTTTAAATCCTCTTAAACCCTGATATTACTCAGGATTTTAACTTCCCCGTGGAGGCACAAATCCTCCCTTCTCCGCAACACCACCATCTGATAATTAGATTGGGCCACACTCGCACCAAAGACTTTCAGTTCATTTACTGCGTAGATCAACCATGTAATGAGAGCTCCCTCCCTTTTCTAATTTGTCTCTACTTGCAAACTATTTCATGCTATCTCAGAAATCTTGGGAAAAAACAGTAGCTTGTAGTTATACATCCAGAGCTAGGGTAAGAGGTCACAGAAAGGGCTTCTCCTTGCCATTTCCTAGCAATTCCCTGTCGTTTCAATACAGAAGGTTAAATTACTCCAGAAGTCTCCCAACAGGACTTCCATTGTTTGTCAATCAAGATTGGGATACAATGGCACTTATTCATGCGCAGAGCAAACAAGCTGACAAGGGCCAATGATCAGTATGCAGTCTCACTCTGGATGTTCTGCAAATAGTTTGCAGAAAGATGGCATTTCAAATAAACTATGTCAAGTTTCAAAAGCTGCAATGCATTCCTAGTATAAACTATTTAGTGGGGAGTCCAGACAAATTCAAAATTAAGACAGTTTGAGAGCAACTTGAAGAATCACCCAAAAACTAACTCATTCATTCGGACTGTTCCTGGAAAAGATCTCCTTGCTACAGCCACATGCAAAAAGATGATGTTTTAATACTTGGAGAAATATACATTCAGAAAAGTTGAAAATAGCTGATTTTTTTCAAAGATAATCATACTAAGGTTTTGTTTTTAGGAGTACCACTTAGTGTTTAGCCTCAGAAATTATGTTACTGAGGGGCAGAGACACCAGGGTTCCAAAGTGCACTTTAAGGCTGTTTACTTCATATCTTCTGGTTAAGAACCCAAGAGGTTTACGGTTCGTTGGGGTTTTTTGCAATATCTTGAAAATAGAACAAACAATTACAACATGACAGAAGTCCAGTACTCCCAACAACTGGAGAGATTCAAGCCCCACACACCTCTTCATTGTTTTGCCTTCTCTACTTCAAAACTTGCTAGAGCAAAGACTTTGTCTCCTGATCCTATGGGAGAAAAAAAAAAACATTTTCAGTATGTATTAACAAAATTGTGTTTTAGAGATTTTTCTCATAGGATTTACATCAAGCAACACTTTTCAGATAAAAAAAACTAAATGTACATTTTTAAAGCCAAAAGACTTGAGCACATTAAAAAAAAAAAAAGGGGGCCATATATGGATTGGAAAGGTCTGAACCTAGCCATATAGAGAGCTTCTAACGGAGTACCCTTCTGAACACCTTGCTTGCACCCTCAGGAAAAGGGGTGCTCAGAGGTACACCACAGGGCCAGTTTATTTGTACCCTGACCTAGTCTGGCACATTCCTGCCGTTCACAATTCTTCCACCACAGTTCTAACTGTAATGCTAGAATCAACTGCTGTGCTCATTTAATTCCTCTTATAAATGCATTTTTGGTCTTGTCAACATGATTAGAGCTATGACAATCACAGCAAGAAGAGAGGTTTAAAGCTGTATTTTGACAGTGTGCCAGTAACTGCAGAGTTCTCTGCAGCCAGGGGAGAAAAAGGCATTCCTAAAGAGAGACAGTAATGCAAGGAAAACATAAAATAAAATAGAATAAAAATAAAAAAAGTGCTTAACTGTAAGAATGCTATCTCTCCTCAAGACAGAGCAGCCTTCAGCATTATGGGGAACACTTGGCATTCTACGGCCGTTTGGCACTGGGTTTATTTGCTGCATTACTTTTTCGTCATGGACAGCATATCAGAATTTCATTGTTAACAAAAAAGAGAAATGTATGAAAAAATTGAAGAGCATGAATCTTTTGTTTGTGTTTGCTCCTTCATAGTGGGATCACAGGCATTTTTATCTATCAGTGTTCAAAGAGGAAAAGAAACTGGAAGTTAGGAGAATGAAAACTTACCAAGGTCACTGGAGACTCTCTCAAACTGGCTCAGGGCTGCACCAGCATTTGCTGACAAGAAAGTCTCATCATCTGCAGTCAGCTAAACCAAAAGAGCCGTAACTGTGAACTTGGTACCTTAACTGTGCATATTCCCACCTCTGCAAAGATCTATATCAGCATTTACATGAAATGCACCACATTAGAGGGCTTATCAATTTGCCATTTTTAAGCAATGTCTTTATCTAATATAGTAAAAGCCAAAGTAAAACAGCAAGCTCTTCCCCCTCCCACTGAATTTCTTCCTCAGTGACGTCAGTCAGCCCAGAAAGGACAGCATAAGCAAGATCAGACATGTCTCTAAATGCATCAGTTTCAAGCTGACCTGCAGTGGTATTTTTTTTCTGAGAAAGTCACCCTTCACTCCTGTACCAAAACTATGCAGAGGATGTCTGCTATGTTTTGGTCACGTGCTCCACCCAGTAAATAGCTAAGACCTACGTTCACTTCACATCACCTGCTGAGGAACGTGACAACATGCAGTTGCCAGCAGCTTTGACCGTGTTAAGAGTCAGTGACCTAGAAATTGTCCTCCTCCTTTTATAGTGCTGCAAACCATCAGTCACATTTACACATGCATATTTTGCTTTTATGTAGGTGCTCTGATGCCTTGCGACTGATGCCCATAAAATATTTACAATAATGAAGTAGTAACCTACAGTTGGAAGACTATATTCAAAGTTAAGACTCACTCATTTAAGTAGCCTCAGATGTATATCCTATTAGAGCAAAGAAGAAATAGGTGTGTCAAACTATCCAGTCTGAGTACGTCCACAGCACGACACCAAGTAGCCCTAACAGTTAAGCCTCATACCTTCCACCAAATACTCTGAGGGACACTCCTTTTATCTTCATCTATCCACCGTCCTTTGACTCACCCATTAAGCCACAGGTACTCCTGGTACACTAAAAATTTTTACAGATTTTCCTAACTTAGTGAAGTGGCTTGTCTGAAATGATCTAATCCTCTGGCATGAGTTCCTTGGACGTCGTCAAACATTCAGTTCACGACCTTAACTAGCCTTTTTACCCATTTTTTCAAAACATTTTTCTCTTGGACGGTCTAGCAATAAAAATATTCTGAGGGAAAGCATTTGCCAATATCATCTAACTGGAATGTAGCTCCTCTATATACTGCACTTGATCTTCTCCATGACTTTTCCTCATTTCACAAGGAAGTTTAAGCACAGAGCTCCCTGACAACCCATTTTCTTCATATACCATCAACAAAAAGCAATAACTTCCCTTCCTCCCTCTAGTGGCAAAAGCCAGAAGTTGTTCTGCACACTGAGGTACTCATCATGGAAAATCATCAGTAACTCACTCGTCTCCCCAGTTTATTTGTCTTACACCAAGAGGTAGGCATTATCACCATTACAGAAGTAAGTTAAAGCCCAAAGTATGTTAAAAGCCTCGGATTGTTCCTCAAAGGTGGGTGGCTTGCAGTTAACCAGGAAAAGATTTATATTACAGCTTCTATAAACCGGTACAGGTTGACATTCTTTATATATGATCCACTCAGATGGCCCACCAAAGAGGGCATTTTCAAGTAGTAATAGCTTTATATAAACATACATCACTATCTGACATATGCTCAGTAGTGAGCACGCCAGAAAGCTTATCACTAAAACACAGGAATATTTATGTGCAACAAAAGCAAGTTACAAGGCACTAATTTTATCATTTGTCTCTTCTCTTCTAATAACTTAAAATTCCTCCTCAACATATATATAGAAATTTCTGTTCACCTAGTTATCATACCAACACCTTACCTTCTCACCAAGCTTTCTGAGGGCAGTCAGGATTTCCACTTTCTGCTGCGTGTAGAGGTCCCGTCCTAGCTTCCCAACCATTAGGTCTCGGTCCATCTTCATACCAGAAAAAAGTCAAAACGTGTAAGCTTTCCATTAGTTTCACACAAAGTGACAGCATGACCAGTGCAACAACCTAGAAACATCACCAGTGAGCACGGAACCTCCAGAAGTAACACACAGAGCCACCCACGATTTAAAAGATGGCTGTAAAGCTGTAAACTGTTTTTTACACTGTTCTACGCCCTTCGCACCTAACCTTAGCATACTTGATTTCTCTGACCTTGAACTTCTTTTAATCGAAGACTGCTGTTCATTCAAAATTTTGGATTCACGTGTCAGTGAGCCATGCGGGAACCACATTTCATTTCACTTTATCTGGATCTCAAGTTCAGTCTCGATCCCCAAGATATGAGTGCACTCATTTCCACACTTCCAAAATCATGCTCTTCATATTTTCTATTTGCAATTATATTCAGTTGACTATCTGTTGATAACATTTTTGGTTTTAAGCAGCAATAGTACAGAATTCAAGAAATACACATTGCTGTCCCCATTACTTCAATGGGCGTTTGAAAATGAACAAACGCTGCAAGATAACAACTTCTCTTATCTTCTTCTGATGCTACCACCAAGTTTTCCGACACACTTGGTGCTTTCCTTGCAATTATGCCAAATTTAATCAGTCTACCTGAAATAAGCACAGTTGCTACAGTAGAACAGAAATCTTCACCTCTGCCAACTTTGTCCTTAATTGCCTTGGTTGTTTCTTTGCAAACATTCTAATTACTTCTGGAGTTTTAAATGCTTGGCTGATGGCTGCTTGTATTGCCTGCAAGGAAAAGAACAAGAATGACTACAACTAATAGCAGGCATAAACCATAGCTACCATGACGAGACTAACGCAGGCCAGAATGCATCATTAGTATTCTTGGTATCGTTTGAGAAGAGAACTTCTGCTTGCATGACCACAGAAGAGAGACGGAAAAATATATGACCTTCATGCAAGGCTTGAAAAATCCACTAATTAGTGCACTTTAAAGAGAAAAGCTATAAAACTTTTTATCAGATTCTAAGTCTTAATTTCTAATTACTTCCAACATCTTCTCGATATTAGCACAACACAAGTAGATGTGCTATTATCTTTAGCAGTTGTAATGCTCACTTTGACAATCGCAACTCTTCCAAGGGTAAGCAGAATGAAATTGTTACGATATTGATCGGCCTCCTGTTGTTGTTCAAAAATCCGCTAGGGAGTATCAAAACCACCTCTCTTCACACCTTTCATACTGTTTTCTAATATTAAAGATCTGATATCTTTAGGTCCTGCAGTCTCCCACATTTTTCCACAGTGTTATGGCGATGATTCTTCAGTTTGTTTTTCTTTTGAAAGGAAGAGCCCTAACCAAGTTATTATATTTGGACATATACTAAGTAATAAAAACATTAGATACGAAGATCTAGATTTCACACATCTATAAGAATTATAATGAATCACTTGTATCTGTTTTCTGTTTCTTCAAGTCCAGATACAATGTGAACCGTTTTTAGTAAAACATCAGAAAGATCTGAGTAAGAATCATCCTTACCAGCTGCATCCCACTGAGCTCATCCACCAAAGTCATATCTCCAGACATAATCTTCTTCAGTGAGTCATTAATCTCACTCAGCTGTTCTAGAGTTTCTTTTTTGGTCTCTTCATACTCATCTGCATCTAGTTCCTCTCTAAAGATCCAACAAGACACATTAATTCACAGGATTAAACACGAGATATAACATGGAGAAAAAGATCTCAGGGAGTATCCTGAAGTATGCTTCCTCAGATAGCAATGAAAACATTCACACCACTTCAGATTATTTTGCCTTTAGCCTCTTTAACTGTTATTTAGCTAACGCATACATAGTTTTCTTCTTGTTTTTACATCAGCTCCTAGCCACCCATGCACTTATGTTGCTTGTACAAAGTCACTCGTATATTAAAAAGACCCTGACAACTACAAAATACTCAATGCTTAGTGCAATATTTAATAGTGCATTTTGCAACTGAACAAAAATATGCAGAGAGATTACCTTGCTAAAAGCTATGATGAAACAAATTACTTGAAAAGTCCGTCTCCTCACCCCAAAACCATCAAGTTAGTCAGGGAGAAAAAACACCAGCCTTTGATCTGGCCCCCTGACCAGTAGTCAACTCAAAGAATGGCACTGCTAACCCTTACCACTTAGAATTGTTCTTGAAAAAACATACTAAAGCTTTATTGTTGGATTAGTTAGAATTATAGTCAGAGAAGGCGTGCAAAACCAGACAGGATGTTTAAGTACCAATACTGAGACGGAGGAAAAAAAACAAAACACGTTTCTTTGATAACCCAGTCTATCTGAAACGTTGTTAGCCTACTAAGAGCTAACGAGTCAGGACAACCACACAAAGCTATAAAAAATAAACATCCATAATTAAAAGACAAAGCAAAATAGACACAAAAGCAAATCATTGCTATTAAAAAAGCCCATATGGAAATTGTGAATTCTGTAAAGAGCTATCAGAAGTTTAAGAAGTCATACAGAAATGTAAAATTTCAAAGAAAATAGTAATGAATATTTCTGCCCTCATTTTCCTCAAGATGACTATAAGTAAAATGATCTTATTATTAAGAAAGCTTTTTTCCCCAAGTCACTCTTACTACTCAGTACAAACACCCTACCATTATTAAAAAAAAAAAAAAAAAGAACAAAGCCACAACAAAACATAAAACAAAAAAAGCCCACAAGACTTGTGAAAGGTACACGATTTTCCTTCTCCAAACCACCGATGAAAAACATTCACATTTCAGAGGAAAGTATTTATTTTTATTACCTGCACTCTTCTAGATCTTGAAGCTGCTGCACTAATCTATCCAACTGCTCTTCCAAGTTTTGCTTTAGCTTACTGGTTTCTGTTGTTCCTCTGGAAGCCATTTTCAGTTTTCACATAAAAATTTTAAGTTGTTACATGACACTCCTAGGAGAAAAACATTTTATTGTTGTGCATCAACAACCTAAGATGTATTTTAAAATGCTCCAAGTATCAATAAAATGATGGAATATCTTGGTGACTGAATATCCAACCAAAATATTTTGAGATATCAGCAGCGGAAATATAGGAATACTAAGCTAGGTCTATAGGATCATCCTCTTTGTAGTAAGAAGCAGTTCACCAACTTAACTCAAACAGCCGCAGCATGGGAAAACAGAAATTGGTTTGAAATCAAACAGCAGTTACTGAACTCTTCAGGCCCTACTTTATGCAACAGAAAACCGTTCTCTTCACCTGTCCCTCGGAAAGTTATTTCAAAGGGACAACAACCCAGATCCGGGCATTTGAAGCATACAAACACCTTCAATAAAATCATTAGACATAAAGATGTGCAATACTGTAGAAGAAGTTTTTGCTTTTTTGGATAATAAATACAAGCCACCAAAGCAAGGTAAGTGATCAATCCGATATTCCCAAGTAATGTACCAATTCAACAGCCGTTCAATACCAAGTCCTTATGATTGCCGCTAATGACTGATTTTCACTAACGACAACAACTCGTGCCAGCAGGTGGAAGACGCACAAGGAAACGTCATCCTCCCCGCTGGAAAGGCATGAAAGATCAGAAGCTGCCAAAAGAGCTACGGGCGGGGGGGGGGCAGAGAAAGGGAAGCAAGAACTTGAGCGCTATGTAATTTTCTTCTCCTTGTCTCTAAAAAAGGCTCCAGCTGGGCTCTGCCTCTTCCACCGCCGCCAGCGCACCGCAGGGAGCCCGAGGCACATCAC